TGTGATGCTGTTTGGCAGCTGGCTCTTCTTGGTGAACATGCACCACAAATGAACCCTCAGTCTGTAGGAAACACTAGATATTGTTTTCAGTGACCAACTGATAATGACTAGGGATGTATGATATGGATTATTTATTTCAATCGGTAATTACCCGCTTCTCAGTTAAAAAAACGGATTTCATCAATCATTTTGCATAAGAATATTGAAAATTATTATTAAAAATCGGACCGATATTTTAACCAGCTGCTAATTTAATGTATCCCATAATTCTCAGATAAATTTATAAATGTCCTTTATCACCCATAATTTAGTGTCCCCCCCCAATTATTGTGTGTCCCTAAATGTTGATTCTTTTCTAGTCTTCTCTTAGCAATAAGTTGGGTCGATAATGGATACATGGAAAAAAAAATTTTTTAAAAAATCATTATGATTTATTACAAAATGAATATTCGGCAAAAAAATAATTTATTTTGAATTTGTTATTAAAAAAAGATGTGCTCTGTGAACATCGAAGTATGCGCAGTGAAGTTTTTTTTAATGAAAAGAAATAAACATTGATAAAAGTCGAACTGTTGTCTTTATTGTTGTTCACACCATAAAGGATGTCAGTTAGATGTTAACGACGACAGGCGAAGGCTATGGAAATATTAAATCAATCCAATCTTCCTAACCACTCCTCCAGCCCTTTCGTTACAGATACACGAAGATACTTAAAATACAAAAATGTGAAAGTTTGAAGAAGATACTTTACAGTATCGGCCATGAAACAGCAGGCAATTCACCGTTATCGTATCAGTTGAAAATAAATCCCAATTCGTGCATCATTGTATAGACCACGCCTAAACTCGGAAACCACGAGAAGTTTGTTTATCCCATATTTTGTCATCAAATAATCAGAATCCCTTTTGCATTTCTGAGATACGGGTAATCACCGTTAAAAAACCAAACATATTTCCTTTTGTGAAGTGATGCCATGATTATTTTTCATCTCAACCAACTTTGAATCCTTCACATATTTAGTTTCACCGAAGTTAACTGTCCTGGCGTTATATCTTTATGTTTTTAAAAGCTGAATATTTGTGTTGGTCTCAACTGAAAATGAAACAAGGAAACCAAATTCAGTAAACACCCCTTAACCACAGCACCATGCTGTCAACAAGAAAGTGCCTAAATATTACTCTCCTCTTCCCCTCCTCTTCCTCCAAAGTTAACTTGTCCTTAAAGTCCCAAACCCCTGCTGATTCCAGCAACCAGGAAGACTTAATTGACCTGGTATCAAAGCCTGAGCTCCAGTCTATCAGGTAATAGTCCTGCCATAATATACAGTTATCGTTTTTCAGTTAATGGCCCTGCTTTAATAGAAAAAGAATAGACAGACAGACAGACAGACAGACAGACCAGACAGACACAGAACAGACAGACAGACAGCAACAACAAAGTAGCAACAAACTAACACTAATAGTAGGACGTGATTGATGAACATGAAGAAGAATGACGGACGACTACAGCAACGATGGGGGGGAACAGTAAAACTGTATAAATCAAAATGAAATAATATCCTTATCTTAATCAATAATAAGTAAACCAAATAACTATCAGTAATATTACGGCAAATCGGTCAGTCACCGGCAGGACCCATTGGCCAGGAGGCTCCACCCAAAGCGAATCCATCGTAAGAACCTGCTGAGACGAGAAAGCCACCAAACCGAACTCCCCGGGGAAGAAGTGAAAAATTAGCAACATGCATTAATGGGGAACAGGAATGAGATGCAGAAAGAGAGAGAGAGGAAGAGAGGAGCTCAGTTGCACCATAGGGAAATCCCCCGATAGTCTAGGCCTATAAGCAGCATAATAAGGGATGGTTCAGGAACTCCACTGGATCCCCAGCCCCTAACTATAAGCTTTATCAAAGGGAAACGTCTTAGGAGCCTCCTCTTAAAATGTGGGTGAGGGTGTCTGCCCTCCTGAACCCACACTGGAAGCTGGTTCCACAGGAGAGGAGCTTGGTAACTGAAAAGGCTCTGGCTCCTGGTTCCTACTTTTAGAGACTATGGAACACAAGTAGCCCAGCATTTCAGAGAACGCAGTATCATAACTCCAGGACCACCTCCCCTGAAACCCTGTGATACTGCTTTAAAATGAAACATTCCTGCCCTCAATCCTCCTAACACCATCACACACTGAGAGAATACAAATTGTTTCCACACGTACTAACAGTTCATGTGTGACCACACCCATGGCTCACTTGCAGCATTCTCTTGTTAGCTTCCTTATGGCATTTCGAACTAACACTGCCGCAACACAAAAACACTGACCACCTACCTATAATAAACCTGAGACACTCAATCATGAAGCCCTGCATCTGTTAATAAAAAAGTCCGAAAAATAGAGTAATTTTTCCTACTGGTAAA